CACAACGAGAAAAATCTATCAAAGAAAGTCAAAAGTTGAAAAGACGTTGTGGAAAATGTGGAGAAGTGGGAAATCATAATAGTAGAACAAATAAGACCAGTGACATTTCTGCTTGTAATAAATAGAAATTTGATGTGTTGTTATTGCATAGTATTATTTCAGAAAACATAGCATATACATACAACTAACCTTGCAACGAAATTGAACTAACCTAGCAGCTTTAAACAATTAGCCTAGCAGCAGAAAAAAACTAACCTAGCAGCATAGAATAAATAAACTAGCAACTTACAACAACTAACCTAGCAGCATAGAATAAATAAACTAGCAACAACATACAACTAACCTAGCAGCATTACATAACTAACCTTGCAACAAAAAGCAACTAAACTAGCAGCATGTAAGTAATAACCTAGCAACTTATGATATCTAACGTACCAGCAAGAAATATATAAACTAGCAATAACAAGCAACTACCCTAACAGCGTTAGACAACTAACCTAGCATCAACTGACAACTAACCTAGCAAAATCATACAACTAACCTAGCCACAATATTTAAGTCTTATGAAAAAGTCGTGTATTAATATGGGTAGTTATGGGTCAATAAAGGCAGACTTCATATAAAGTGGACAAAAATTAGGGTTACACTTCATTGTCAAAGGCTAGTACTTTTCTGCCGCTCTACCAAAGAAAACATCGCAAAGTTGAAGGTGAAATCTCTGTTAATTTTCTCTTAATCCTCACTATGTTCTATGTATTAACTATTGCATAATATGATTTATTATATATGCTTCTTTTTATGTTCATTTTCTATTGCATAAGGTGATTTATTATATGATGTATTAACAGAATATGGATCTCATGAACGACAACAACGAATACTTACTGCCATCNCACTATGTTCTATGTATTAACTATTGCATAATATGATTTATTATATATGCTTCTTTTTATGTTAATTTTCTATTGCATAAGGTGATTTATTATACGATGTATTAACAGAATATGGATCTCATGAACGACAACAACGAATACTTACTGCCATCTTTCTATAAGACTGTTTTGACCAAGGTTCTCCACACTATGGTAAAGTTCTTTGTTTTAATTATTCTTTTACTAGTGCACTGTTACATATAAAAATCAAGTTTTAACAGAAAAAAAAAGAAAATATGCTGTGATTTTCCAGCCCTTTCCGCCACCCACTCACGACTATTTCCGGGATGAGGATCTGTCCCAGAGATGCATTATACATACAATAGAAGGACGCACATATGAGACTTTGATAAAAAGGGTTGATGGCTGCCCAACAATTATAGACGGTTGGCGCGAGTACATTGTTACAGAGGACGTTGAATATGGTTCCTTATTGCTCTTCAGACCAACCAGCAACTTAGACTATGAAATTAAAATCCTTGAGCGCAACAATTGCAGTCGGCCGCCACAATATAATTTCAATGTCAATATTAAGCCCACACACGTTGAACGTTTCCATTTGGTAAGTTTAATAAATTTCATCTGTCAGCATAATTAACTTGTTTGTATTTAAATACATATAATACATACAAATTACTTTATTCTTGCAGCCCATACCAATGCCTTTCTGGAGGGAACATATCAGAGGGAAATTTTCTCACTACCAACGCGCATCTATAAAGGTAGGAGAACGAGTTTACAGGGTAAACATCACTCAAGGAGATGATGGAAGGAAGACTATGCAGAATGGCGACGCTCGAAAATTGTTTGAAGAAAATGAAATTTTAGAAGGGACAACATGCACTTTCTTCCTTGTTCAAGATGATGTGGACATGATGAAATTTAGAATTAAGATGTAGTGATTGTGATTTGTTGGGTATTTAGTTCTCTGATGTGTTGGAAATGTTTGTATTTTGCTCGACAATTTATTTGATCTGATGTATTTTGCTCGACAATTTAGTACGATAAACTGATGGAAGTGTTTTTCTATAAAACTTTTTTTGATACAATAACCTAGCAACTAGATATATCTAACATAGCAACACCAGAGAACTAACCTAGCAACAAGATAGAACTAACCTATCAACAACAAAAAAACTATCCCTGCAGCATACAACTAACATTGCA